TTGGATGGTCTTGATCATTTGTCACAAAGCCGTTTTGTAAAGATGCTGCAGGAAATTACACCATGCCTACCAAAACAGCCTTTTTTGATAGTATTCACCACCAATACCAATCCTTGGCTGCCATCAGCAAGATGGCAATTCTGTCAAGACACGACTAAATCGACTGATTTAAAAACACCACTCTCTTTGGCAGCAAGAGGTGTCTCCTTTATTGGACACAGTAGAATCCAAAGTCGTGTCTGAACAATCTAAACCCCTTAAATCCTGTTAATCTGAAGCCCCGTGCAAGGTATGCAATAACTTTACTATATGACGTAGTCACAATACCTTCCTCACCTTCCAGGACAGGATTACAAGGAGAAATGTCATGTCTTTCCTGCAGGTGTGGCTTTGAAACCTTTTCCCTTATTCCAGCCTTTGTGGGCTCCAGTTTTTTGATAAAAATGATTGTCAGGTTACTCTCCTGCTTCCATTTCTCTTTGCAAATTTCAAATACACCAACCTGCACTATGGTGTTCCCACTGCATCCTCACTTAAATCCAAGGCACTTGAATTTAACAATGCACTCTTACTCCAAAAGGGGATTAAAACTGACCTCATCACCTCAATGTCCCCTTCCTCCTACAAGATTTTTAAACACTACATTGGCATCGATTGTTCCTAGATTTATTGTTTCTTCTATCCCAGTTGTCAGTCATGATGTCCTGCACGGTGACCTTTGAGCTGAAGTCTGAAAATAAAGTCCAGGCTTCATTTGGTGGAAACCTACAGCATGAAATGCCATTGCAAATCAGAGTCAAAGGAAAAAATACAATTGGGATGGTCTAAATAAAAGAACCCAGCTCACTCAAAATTCAATTGGGGAGCTTTATTGTAGATCTGCTGTTGTTCCATGAAGCAGGAACAAATGAAAGGAAATATAATTGATAAATGGTCTGCCTGGTATTCCAATCACTGCGTGAATTCCTGTAATGTGACAGTAGATCATCGAGGTGAAGACTCATTTCCAGGAGCAGCCATGCGTTTCCCTCCGAGGCTCCAGTGCTTTGTGTAATAGTCAACTTTGAGGAACAGCAAGGCCCAGATCTGGTTGCTAGCCTGTGCGACATCAGCCCACTTCAGCTACAGCACTGCAACTGGTTATGGCCTCAGGAGAATGAGGGCTGCATTGCTCCACTTAACCCGATATCTGACTAACCCACCGATGCTCCCAACCTAGGTTCGCCATTGAACGGTGATCAATGCCGCGGGAGTGGCGCTGCCAAACGTCCAAATATGTCCTGGAATTGTACAATAATCAGCTGGACATTGCTCCAAATGAGCCACGGAGGAACATCATTCACCATTCAAAAGAAACCGAGTATTCTACATTTGGTCTGAACATATTCAAATAATTACAAAAATACTGGAGATCAGAGTAAAATAAAAAAATTGCTACCAATTCATGAACAGGCAAGATAAATCCTATTGGGTAACAAAGTCTATTCAGTTTCTGCGAAGTGGTGGTGGGAACACAGCATAACTGAAGGATGTACTAAGGCTGGAAGTGTATGGTGGAGGCATCAGATCACATGACGAAACTGGCAGTGAGAGCTGAGAAAAATCTTTTCTTCAATATTGCTTTGTTATTTGCAGTCGGTACATGAATCGTTCAGCATGGTACATTCAAGGATTGTACAGCTGCACACCCTGGAGACAAACTGAGGTAGCACTGCGTAGCTGTCCTTAAGTAACCATTCCCAGCTCCAGTCCATTCTTAACGAAGGGTCACCAGAGAATCTCTTGCAATAGCTTCTCTTCCTGCTCCCACATAATTCCAATTAAACACTGGGATGACTGAAACTATTGTCTTTAGTCTGGTCTCCAAACTCCATTCCCTAGACACCAGCTCCATCCATTCGTTACCACACTTCACTGGCGTAGTGCACTGCGTCCTGCTACTTACAGAGTCATGATTAAAGTTAAAGATTTTATCAAAGTATGCAAAATTCCAAATTTAATGAAATTTCTCCAAACTAAGCCCCCAGATAAACCTGGCAGGTGATCGAGTCATTTACCTGTACTTCACTCAACCTGTGTTCACAGCTCACAATGTGGTCTGCTCTACATTTTGAAAACGAAGCGTAGTCAAGGTGACCAATTCCCAGAGCGCTTATGTTCTGTCCACAAAAATGACCCTGAGCTTCTAGTTGCCTGCCACTTCAAGTCACCACCTTGTGCAGTGGCTAACATCTCTGTTTCGAGCTTGCTGCAGTACTCCAGCGAAACTCAGGACAAGCTGGAAGAACAGGATCTCATTTTCTGCTTGGGAACTCTGTAGCCTTCTGGGCTCAATATTGAGTTATACATGTTTTAGGGCCTGAGCACCGTCTCCCATGTCCTTACCCCAACCCCGACATACCAGGCCTTGTCTGCTGCCACAAACAACCTACTGTCAACTCATTCTGGGGGCTTCAGATTCTCTCATTCATATCCGCAAGCTGCTCAGCTACTGGAAGCCAATCACATAGCTGTTGGCAGACAGAAAGCCTCCGTCATCGGCAACAGGTCACAATTACACAGCCCAATCAGCTACTTAGAGTGGCACGGTGGCTCAGTGGTTAGCACTGCTGCCTCACAGCACCAGGGACCTGGGTTTGATTCCACCCTTGGGTGACTGTATGTGTGGAGTTTATACATTCTCCCTGTACTCCAGTTTCCTCCCACATGTGCAGGTTAGATGGATTGGCAACGCTAAATTGCCCCTAGGGTGGAGGCTAGGCGCAGTAGTAAAGGGGAATGTAGGGTTACATGGACGGGGTGGGTCTGGGTGTGACGCAATTCGAAGGATCGGTGTGGACTGCTGGGGCACATGGCCTGCTTCCACACTGTAGGGATTCTGTGACCTGTTACCAGCCAAATTTCCCTTTGTGTACCAGCTCCCAACACCCACAGCTCAAGCTTGCTTGCTACAACCTCAACACCATTTTCCCCAACCCAGATGAACAAACAGCACTCAAATAAGCATCAATAATTTGCTTTTAAAGAACACGGCAACACTTCCACAATCCTCAGTATTTGAAACAGTCCTTTTCCCATTTCAATTCAATGAAAACTACAGAAAAATATAAAGATACCTTCTTTACATAGTACAGGAGGTCATTGCTGTTAAGTCCATCCCCCTTCCTGGGGCTGCTCTGTGTTTAAGCCAGTCTGTTTGCAACCTCAGTGTTACATCTGACTCTGAGGGGAGTTTCTGAACTCATATTCATGACATGACTTTCCTGGTCAAGCAGCAGCTTGATTCTAAAATTCTCATCTTTGCTTTCAAATCACAATATGACATCGCCCTTCCCTTTTTATAATCTCCTCCAAACCCATAACTCTTCAGGATATCTACACTCCTCCAATTCCAGCCTCTTGTGCACCTCCAGTTTTAATCGCTCCACCACTGATGGCTGCATTTTCTAGGCCTCAGACCCTCTCCCACCTTGCCACCTCACTTTCCTCCTCTCCAATGCTCCTTAAAATTGACTGCTTTTAATCATCTGATCCAGTATCTCCTCACAGTGTTGTCCTCTGTTTTCTAATGTTCCTGTGAGGTGTTTGGGATGGTTCATTATGTCAAAAGGCGCTCTGTAAGTTGTTGTTGTTGTCGTCGTCAATGGGAGGCCGCAACTTTGGAAATGAAGTGGAGAAAATAGGAATGGGGACGGGAGGACGAGGCGAGACAAAATAAAATGCTTCGAAAGACTTTATCATTTGATGAGAATTGACAGGAATTAATGAGCCCCGGGCTGAGATAGCCAGTAAGAAAACATTTAGCATCATTCTGCCAATTAATGAGCAGTCTTGCCAGCTGCGTGAAGCTATCAGCAAAATGCAATGACATCAGTTCAAGGTAACTATTACTGCAAAATCAAATGCAGCCTCCTGAAGAACCTTAGTGTACAATATACGAGATGAATATGTAAAACAAAAATTATATTCATCAACTGCTTTCCTAAGTGCAATATCACAGTACTATCAGGGCTCCAGGTCAGCATTTAGGTAAATCATAGAGAATTAATAGGGTCTTCAATAGTTCAGCTGTGTGAGGATTTAATGCATTACAGACTCGTAAGTGACACGTAGGATATACAATGGGCGAAACAGAGACAGTTACGGGTCTGTCACTCAAAGAAGCGATGGAAAATATTAAGCTGGTGATTTATGAATGCTTAGAGAACTTTGAAATTGCACAACAGCCTTGAATCTCTGTTGCCTCTCTGTATGACTGGATTGCTGAGATTTCTGGCAGGTGAAATGCTACTCAGTTTGCATCTCCTGAAGTCAGGGGTCCTGATGCCAATTGCAAAGGCTCTGTATTAGCTGGGATCGGTTTACCTAGTACAGATTGGGACAAATGCTGGTCTGGGGCATGAGGCACTGGGGAGGAAAAATCAGTAGCAGGGGGATAGTGTGATCAGCAACATGTAGTCAGAGGAGGAGAGACAGATGGACAAGGGGGAAAAGTAAATGGATAGTATAGAAGAGCAGGGTGAAGCAACAGGGGTAGTGTAATCACCAGATGAGGCATGAGGAGGGGAAGAGCATGGCACAGGAGGCAGGGACAGGGTTAAGAGGGCCATGGGGGGAGAGACAGGAGCAGCAGAGACCATGAGGACAGAGTGTGTGCTGGGGCAGCAACAGGGGGCAGAGGACA